CACACACACACACACACACACACAAACGAATAACTTTTTTAAAGTAATTCTTTTTTTTTTTTACTAAAAAGGAATAAGAACATTATTTTATGTTTATCTATCTACCACCAGCTAATTTAAAATTATTTAATAGAGCAAAATTTTCTGAAAAGCCCACACACTTGAGGGGACTGGGTCTCTTAAGCCTACCCTTGCTAAGGCTCCCCAACATCCGCCACGCCAGGTGGTGTCTCAGCCCCAGGTACATGAGTGCCTGCAGGTTAACTCAGGACCGTGAAAGAAGCTGGTGTCAATGAAGATGAGAAAGGCATGTGATCAGCCAGCTGGGAACTGAATGAAATCAAGCCCCCAAAAGGAAAGTCCAGGCCCACAGAATTCATCTCAGATCCTTGAACATTGCTGCCCCACAGACAGGATTCTTTATGTTGGAGCCAAAGGCAGACTTACCTGGCATTCAGACAAACAGGTAGTTGGGCAAGGCGCTAGGAAGCATATGTAAAACGAGCAGCTGAAGTCCTGAATTTATAGCTCCCTGCCTCTCCCTATTCATCAGAGTCTGCATTTCCAGTGAAACAACCTTGAGTTTCTCAATGATAATAACCCTATTAAATTGAGTATGGAAGCTTTATGACAAAACGGAAGGCTTTTGCTCCCCACTGTGGCCAGAAAGTTGTGCCCTTGACCTTGCCAGTCATGGGGCTGTGAGCACTTTAGACATCTCTCCGCCTCGGGATGCAGAATGTCAGGGCTCGAAGTCACCTGCTGGGTGTTTACATTTCCACTCCAAGAGAGGCTGGACCAGAATCTGGGCTTCACCCAGATTTCTCAAGTGACTTATGAATCTTTTTACTAACAGCTTTATTGGCATAGATTTCACATGTCATGCAGTTCCATGTTTCAGTAATACCAAGGAGTGCTGGACAATCATCACAACAATCAGTTTTAGAACATGTTCTTCTTTCTTGTACCTGTTGTTGTTAGCGTCCAACCTCCCCTGCCACACTCTCAAGGAACCATTAATCCAGTTACTGTCTCTTTAGATTTTCCTATCCTGGATTTCATATACAGAAAAACATGCATCCCCCACCCAAGAAAATATGAGTCTTATAGGTCCCCTTAGACAACAATTCTCATCTATATAAGAAGTCTTAGAGATTGTATGTGTAATAATCACATGGAATTCCATAAGGACACCAGGGATCTCGTGACAACGTAGATTGTGATTCTGCATTTCTGGGGGGAAAATGAACATTCTCAGGAGGGGTTCAAACTGATGTGAACAAGCTCTAAGCCCCGTTCAAACTCTCTTAGAACGTTTGTTGTTACTGTTGTTGAAAGGGGAGGCCAATTAGAAGTGACCTAAATGAAGCAGAGACCAAAACAAGATTAAAAGGAGGAGTTCCATCTTGGTCTATAAAAGATCATTAGAATGGACCTGTCCAAAGGAGCTTGACCCAAGTTAGGATGAGATCCATAAGAGGGTCTTCATCCCTAACAATTTTGGACCCCGTCTGGAAAGACTATTTCGTGATGTGCTTCCCACCTTTAGAATTAGAATCCCCTCTCACTGCCGTGGAGTCAATGTTGACCCACCGCAACTGCCTCTGTGAGTTTCTGAGACTGCGACACTTGACAGGAGTCGAACACCTGTCTTCTACTGAAGAGCGGCTGGTGGCTTGGAATTGCTAACCTTGCAGTTATCAGCCCAGGACGAAACCACTGCACCACCAGGCCTCCAGAATCCTCTAGGAGACTTTAAAACCCATGTGTGACCAGGCCCCAACCCAATCCAACTGGATCAGCATCTCTGGGGTGAAAACCAGGCATCAGAGTTTTATTGCTCAGGTGATTGCAATGAGCAACCAGATTGGAGCCATGGTTTATAGCCTCATGAAAACCAGAACTAAAGTCATACTGGATTTACCCAAGACAGGTAGACGTATGTCCTGACAGGCCTGTTCTCGGTAGTAAAGCTCGTTGCGCAGTTGTATGGCTTAGGGATGACAACTCGGAAGAAGGAAATAATGGAAATGATCTTGAGAGACGAGAAGGAGGAAGTTTAAGAAAAGTATGGCCATGAAGCTACACACACACCTTCTTCTCAAGTGCTTCATTAATTAGGAAATCCCTAGCTTTCATCCGTTCAGTAGGCATTTGTTGATTCCCTGTACCAGGCCAACTTCTCCGTGCTAAGAGCCTGAAATTCATTCCTCTAAGAAGCTCACTGCCTTCAGAAAAACAGTAACAATACAAAAACAAAATAAAACTCAGTGGGAACATGCACCTCCAAATTTCGGTGTTTCTGTTTCCTGCCAGCCCTGAAGCACCCCTCCGTCTCTACTACCTCATTAAAACAAGCAGCATGAGGATCAGCCTTCACCTTAGTCTTTAGTAAAGGGGGTGTCTATTTAGCTGGTTGCTAAGCAGCAAGTCCTAGAAGGGGCCCCCCACCCTGGCTGCACACCGGCTGTAATGTCAGGGGTAAGAGCACAGGATCAAAATTTGCTCTCTCTATCCCCAATTTTTTTTAAATCATCGTATTGGGGGCTCGTACAACTCTTACCACAATCCATACATCAATTGAATCAGGCATGTTTGTACATATGTTGCCCTCACTCTTTTCTAGACATTTACTTTCCATTGAGCCCTTGGTATCAGCTCTTTCCCCCACCTCCCTCCCCGCCATCCTCATAACCCCCTAATAGATTGTACATTATTATTTTCATCTCTCATACCGACTGCTGTCTCCCTTCCCCCATGTTTTCGATTGTTCTTCGCCTTGTAGAGGGGTGTATGGTTATGTGTCCATCATTGCGATCGGTTGCTCCTTTCTTCCTTCCTCTCCCTCTCTTCCCCCTACCCTTCACCCCCAATTTTTTATTGCAGTTCTTTAAGCAAACCCAATGCTTTAAAATATTTAACTTCAGTTTTGAATTGTCGTAAGAAAAATTAAAATTGAGTACAATTTTTAAAAGAATTAACAGTTAGTTCTAGAGTTAACCCTGAAAACCTGTGAAATGAGATCTAGTGGTGTAGTGATTCAGTGTTGGGCTTCCCTCGATCCACATGGGGGGCAGTTCAAACCACCAGCTTGAAACTCTGCTGGAGAAGGATTGGGTTTTCGACTCCCATCAACAATAGCGCTGCGTGTTAATATCCCCATCTAGTGAATTCCGGTGCTGGTTAACAGCATTGGCTGTACTGTGGATTGCCAGAAGACTAAACCCATCAGTCTAGAACAAAGAAAACCCAGAAAGCTAGGGCGAGGAGGCTTCTCTCACGTACTTTGGACAAGTTGTCAGGGACAAAAAGACCTGTGGTTGGTCAAGTAGAAAGTCAGCGCAAACAAGAAAACCCCTCAGAGAGATGGACTGACACGGTGGCTGCACCCATGGGCGCACACACAGCAATTGTGAGGATGGCACAGGACTGGGCCATGTTTCCTTCTGTTGTGCTGTGCACCTACGGGGTCCCTGTGCGCTGGAACCACCTCCAAGGCAACTGGCAACAGCAGCATAGGTTGGCAGGCTTCTAGGACAGTAGGTCTCCCCGGGTAACAAAACTCCAATTTAGGGATAATGCATACGTGCCCTTTATTGTTATAAACCTGATGTTGACACGTCAAAAAAATGAAAACACTGTTTCAACTTATTTGCAGTTTCAACTTCAAGACACATGTAGTTGAGTGCCTCCTGGGTTGTGGTTTCCATGACAATGAAATGGAAAACTCCCATGGCCTCTTCTACTTAGCAGCTCTACCATGAGCCTTAGATGAGCTAAAGCCTATGAACAGTTTTTCCAAAATATAGCCAATCCCTGAGTACTAAACGAGACATCCTAAAGTGTG